CATGCTAACCAGTCCACACATGCTTAGCACACGCACACGGCTTCACAATAACATCTCCAACACCTACAAGGATTTTAACAAGTTTATGAAACATGCCTCTGGCTACTTTCAAAATTATTTCTCAAAAAAAGGCACTATAAAAATACATGACTGCTAGCTCTGCCTGTGAAGTTGGTTGTTGTCGCATTTCATGCTAATCGTACTGACTGGTGTTATTTAGGGTTAAACATAATTTAAAAGAAAGAAGACTCTTAGTCTGATAGTTGTAACTCAGCTGACAGAGCAGGTGGCAGGCCATCCTATCATCCATTTCCCAGAGATGTCCACTCCACGCTTAATCTCAGGTCCACAACGGGGCCGTTTGAATATTCATTATTATTTATTTACAGAACAAAACCACAGAAACACTGTCAATAAACTAATTGCAGTTAAGAATCGCCACGAGAATTAAGAGGATAAGTATGTGCTGCTAATAAAATGCACTTAGTTACAGGATTATCTGCAGATGTGAGCACCTCTAAAAAAAAAAAAGGAAAAAAAGGCAGACGTTTGGCAAGTTTGCGCCACTGGAAAATTCAGCTGTGAGTTTGGAGAAAGCAAAGGTGGAGAACCAATTGTTGCTATCCATCAGTCTGAGAACAGCTATAAGACCATTTCCAATCACCAGTCTACAGGCACAAACAGGAAAACGTTAAAGACAGTGGTCAGTCTTCACCTAAGTCAGTGTTCGACTCCAGTTCACTCCAAGGTTGGACGACAATATACTGAGAGAAACTGATAAACAAAAAAGGATTCCTAAGAGCTACGTCTAAGAATCTACAGGCCTCAGTTAGTATGTTAAAAGTTCACAACAAAGACTTTTAGAAATATTCTGGACAAGTACAGCTTGTTTGGAGGAGTAGTAGGAAAAAGACTCTACTTTCTAAAAACAACATGGCAGCACAGCTTAGATTTGCAAAGTTATAGCCAAAAGTATTCTATTTCCACCAAGGTAGAAATATTTGGTCCTAATTCCAGCAGCACATGACTATCAGCCTAATAATGTGGAGGGGATTGTGTCTTTTTTTCTGTATAACTGTATATTTATTCCACTAAAAGCCCACAAAAAGTGTTTTCATTCACACACCTGTTCGCCTTCTTTAATCAAAGCACTTAAACGGGTCAACTGGGTCACTTAAAGCGTTTCCGAACCGTCGCTTGACTCTAACAGAATGTTTATTTTACAACTCACGCACCATCTGATAAATACACTATTAAACTAACTTAAAGACAACATCTGTGTTAATGTATAAATGCACAACGATCGCCCACACAGAAAGCCCCAAGCAGCAGCAGTCTCACATGAACGTGCAATGTAATGTAAACCGAACAAGATCCAGGTGAACAGACAAGGTCCAATTCACAGCAAAGTCACACAACTGATAGTATAATATGACTGATAATATAACTGTTTGTCAAGTTGTTAAGTTGCAATTCAGAGCACCACAAGTGGCAAAAACCAAACGCACAAACAGCCCATAACACTGTGGAACGTGGTGTTTAAAGGCTGACGACTGGAGCTCATTTTTGAGTCACTGAACTGAATTCCTGTGTAAACTAAAGTTTTGTTAAGACAATTATCACACATGTCCGATAGTAAGAGTTTGTCCAAAACTGGGTCACGCGACAGGTCCGGGGCAAAGATCTTAAGCACATCCAATCAAAGTCCAGCTATTTCACGGCTTTATCGATCTCATTTGAGACCTACTGAGGATGACATGTTTTATCTAATCTAATTATCATAATGGGCTGTAGTATACAACTTTAGGAGTGAAAGAAGGTGGGCTTTCTCTTTCTCAACCTAATGTGCATCCAAACCATCAGTGGATACGTCCAACAACTGAGGGTGAAACTTATTGGAAAGTAGCAGGGTCAACTAAAAATCATAAATATTAAATTGCCCTAGATCCCAACACTAATAAGGAAGTGTGTCACTTTCTGTTCTCAGAGGCATTTTATGTGGCCAAAGAGCTATAGCCAGTCATTTCAAAGGTCTTAGACAACAGCGTTTTAAGTAGGAATTATTTAGAAATTGACTAATTTATCAAATCGGATTCGTGCTTTTCCTCTAAGTGAAATGGGTTTGGGACTATACATCCCAATCATCAACACTCAGTGTGCAAAATGAGAGTGAAATGACTTTCTTAGCGTGTAAAACCACACTACATCCTCTCTTAGCTCTGAGCATGAAAAGAAAAAGTCAGGGGGAGGGAAAAAAAAATAAAAACCCCACATAGATTTGAATAACAAGCAGGTGCAGTTTTGTTCTAGAGGATGAAGAAACCTGCCGGTGTTTCTGAGAACACATGAACATTTGCTTCTCCCCAAAACAAACAAATGTGACACTTTAGCTGCGAAACGTGGCTCTGCTCTCTTTCACTCATGCGCTGTGCGCGCGAGGGATGACATCATGTTGGGTCAGCTTGGGTTTTAGACACAGTCTCCGTCATTTAAAAAAGAGAAAAACCAGCGAGCGCACGCGCGTTGCCTTTGCAATAAATCAACGTAACCGTTCTCCCCCCCAAAAAATCCAAATCATGCGCACGAGAGCAGCCCCACGCGCTTCGAGGCTAAAAGACGTAGTAAAAAAGAGTTGTTTTTATCAAATAGAAAGGAGGTGGGGGGGGGGGGGGGCATGTGTAGTAGACGTTGCTCTCTCAACTGACAGCCATTGTGACCCCCCCCCACCCCCCCCCACACACACACACACACACACACACACACCTCCCACCGGGCACTTCACTACAACCTGTCACACGTCGGTTCAGCGTACTCACCCCCCCAGAGGAGAAAAAACCCAACAAGCAAGAGCTGCTCCACCGTCAGTTTGCGGCACAAACGCGCAGATTTCTGCCTGTTTTTTAAATTTCTTCCACGGAGCTGACACGGAGACACGAGACCGCGCGAGCGTGCACTTGGCTTTGACCGTTAAAAGGCAAACCTACGCACTTAAGCTGATGCTGGTATCGGTACTACTCACCACCTCTGAGCTGAGCGTTGAAAAAAAAACAACAAGCCGACCACCCCCGAAAAAAAAACAAAAAAACAAAAAATAAACGGCCGACGGTGGTCATGTCCAACTTCAGGTGTCACGTCCGAGCGTTTCCCCCCGTTAATAGTCCACTTTATCGGCCGTTTTTAACGCAAGGGGACGTAGCAACGGTTGCTACCGCGGCTGACTCGAAAAGGAAGTGTCATTACGGTTCGAGGGCGCGAGGTTACGGCACGCGCGGGCGACGGTTGACGGTTGACGGGGCAACAAACGGTGACAACTCCGTTGGGAAAGAAAAGAAAAGAGGAGAGATGGGGGGGTGGGGGCTCACCTTTCCAGGCTGGCAGCGTGCGTACTTGAGGAGTGTTTAGTTTAGTCCGAGTGTGGAGATGTCGGAGTGACTTGGCGGAGTGCTGTCAGTTGGTCTAGACTTCCTGAATGACGGAACAACCTCTCGCTCGCGCTTGACAGTTACTTTGACAGACAGGCGGAAATAAAGTTGCCTCGTGCGCGTTGACAGGACGGCCGGAGGATATGCAGTTTTCAAACGTTTGCTTTTAAAGTGAAGACTAGGTTAATAAAAACGTATTGAATTTGTTTACTTCCTTTGCAAAACGTTTTACAAATGTATTAAAAGATAAAAGGAAACATTTCAAACATGCAATGTTAGATTTCCTATAGTTGGATTTAAATGAAAGGATCGCATACCAACCGTGCTATACGTTATTTCCTCTGCCAATGATTAAAGATGCATGAACTGAGTCATCCCGATTCTGTTGCAACTTCAGGTGATAGCAGTTTGCCTCCAAAACGTAACAAGTCCAACGCTGCCATCTGCTGCTAACATGTGGGAATTCATTCACTTTATCAAGTATCAAGTGTTTCTACTCTAATTCAAATATCGTGTCAAAACCCATGGTAATACCTGGTATTATACGTAGAAGTGATAACTTTAACTTTTCAGGAAAAAAAATCTGAAGACTGAGTCAGCTTTAGGTAAAATCTAGTTCAATCTAACCACTTTGACACTATTACACACACACACAAACACACATTAATAAAACTACAGAAATTTCAATTTTATTTCAATGGCCAGAAATTCCTGCAGTGTTAAATTTGAGGGCTACATTTCTTATGAAACTTCATATATATATATGTTATGACTCTTAACAGAATAGAAAACGTACTTCCACGAGTACATCAATTTAAAGTAAATATTGAGCTATTGCTTCCTCGAAATACCTCTACTCTTTGAGAAAGAGTAGACGTTTAAATGTGTATTGTCTCATTTTCATTCTCCAAAATAAGTCTGAAAGTAATTTAGCTTTTTTTTTGTTATTGTTCTTCAATTGTTTCCACAATTGTACTTGAACTTAATGAACTGATGGAGTGGTTAATGATGTAATCAATGTTTGATAGACGGACAGAGTATTTTATTGGTCATATCATGTGGTAAAAGGAGAGCATGGATTTTTTATCAACGTACACAGTCAGCAAACTATTGTTTAAACAACCAAAGTAAATAAAAGTTCTGAAATTCATTATAAGTCCTTTGCCGTCGGCTAAAGAATGATTTATATTACTACTTCGACCACAAATAAACAAAGTAGAAAAAACAAATGCAGAGCCAAGAATCGACAGAAGACTACCGTTGCTGTTCGTTGATATGCCTGTTTAAATGTTATTTCCTAGGTTCACAAAATAAATATAGTTCTCATCATAAGTTGTCTAGTAGTAGGTTTTCATTCAATAAAGCGAATAATATTTGTATTCTAAATATTCTGAGTGCATAAATACTTTGTTATTGACGGAAATATATCCAGGCATATGTATAGACAGCTTGACACCTTGAGGTCCTCCCAATTGTAGGCGCAGTTTCAACAAGGCTGCAAAACACAAATCGATTGTTTATTTAGTGTTTGTTTACATTCTCTAAAACAGTTAAATGGCGTCCACATTAATATCGCCAATGGTGGATTATTACAACGACGAGGAGGAACTCGATAGCGTGGACGATGAGGATGATCGGAGTTTCAGAGGAAGAGATTCGGAAGAAGGTACCGTTGAAAACTAAAAAGCTAAAAACTGATTGTCGGGCTGTGACTACTTGCTGGAGCCAAAACGGAAACGTGTGTTTATTGTTTAAATTGAGCGACGTATATTGACGTTTTGTATGGCCCAGAATGGATAGTATTATTTGTCTTGGAGCGTTGTGTGCTGTGGGTTGTGTGTAATTCCTAAAGCTGGTTAAATAGGTCAGCGGGAGCCTCGGTTAGCTTATATGCTATATGATGTTTAGCTACCGCCGTTTCCGCCTGACAGGAAGCGTTTCAAACTACGGAAGGCAAAATTTTGATATAAGATTTTTTTTATGAGCCATGCGCGAGCATATTGGACCAGTGGTTAACGTCACGAGTGTATGCGTATTTATTTACATGCTAATTGGCAAAACGTCTATTTTCTGACATCAATCACCAGTAAACTGAAAGCAGTGTATTTGCGATTATGGCTTCACAATGTTTGAAGCAAGATACTATGTTCAAATCACTATTTTTTAAGACTGTTTTCGGATTATTTTGTTTGTCCATCACGTTTTGGTCTCGACAAACTGAAAAACAACGCGATAACTTCGTTGTCTCTATCAATATAAATAAGTGATAATGCATCATTTGTAATATAAGCGTAACATTTCGAGACACTTTAAGTTGACGACATGGATCGATTTTGGTAAATAACAGAAGATAGTCGATTGGGAGTGCGAGTTAAATGCGTTTTAACTTTACAGGTCTCGTTCAAAGTGGCGTTTAACGTTGTTTTTTGTTTTTTTTTTTTGGTCCTCGCTCCCAATGCTACGCAACGCTAATTAGCCACGGAGCTACGTGACGTTATCTGCTAGCGTTGACAGGTTTTGTGTGTCCACTGCTCTGCCCTTTTCACACTCGGTGGGCCGGGACGCAGAGGCGAAAAGCGAAAAGACAGGAAAGAGACCGCGGGGATGACAGCGCTACAAGGTTAGCTGAGGGAGTCCCCACATCGACCACCTAGCTCCGGGGGTCTGTGTTTTTCTGCTTTCCGTCCCCCGTCGGACGCGTTCACGTTCCGGGTTACTCTTCTGCCAAACAGCGGCCGGAGCTAACTCCGTTAGCCACCTCATGCTAACTGAAAATGAAAGCTGCTGTGTCAGCTTAACCGGGGCCTTTACCTCGTTTGACTCCGGTTTGGAGGGTATTGGAGACAGACCTGGGGTTGGACAGTGCTACTAGGCCATTTTTTCGACTTTGCCTCATATCGAAACACGTCAGCGTTGCTGTTTTTTTTCTTCTTTTTTTATGTTGACAGCCAGGCATGGAGCCGGGCACCGTGCTGATTAACTCCCACCATGCGGCAAAAACTCTTGGCATCCCGGGCTAGCAGCTGCTACACCGGCCGGGTGGTTTAGAGAAACTTGGTCCTATGTTCGCGTTTGAGATATAAAGTCGGACATTTGTTTAGCCAAACTTTTTTTTCCGGGAGAATTCTCCCTTTATGCCCACGGAGGGTGTTCACCATTTCCCAGCCAGTGCCACGCACGTCCATTGACACGCACCTACGTTTTTCTTTCTATATGCTTTTTCTATTTATTCTAGGCTTTTTCTATTTATGTTTATGTTAATGCATTTGGCAGACGCTTTTATCCAAAGCGACTTACAGAGTAGACACAGTATTACATTTCTCATCACTATGACAATATTTATTTATTATATTTATTCTTTCTCTGCTCCCTCTGTCCTTCTCTCGCCGTCTTTCTCTCTCTTGCCCTTTCTTTCCCTCACCCCCAACCCCACCCTGAGCCATGGTTCTGCTCGAGGTTTCTGCCTGTTAAAAGGAAGTTTTTCCTTGCCTGTGTCGCCTAGTGCTTGCTCATGGTGGGAATTGTTGGGTTTCTGTAATTAACTTCAGAGTAGGGTCTGACCTGCTCTGTTTGGAAAGCGCTGTGAGACAACTGTTGTTGTGATGTGGCGCTATATAAATAAAATTGAATTGAATTTTTTTTTTTTCCGCCCTAAGAAAACCAAACCATTCAAGATACCCTAATTGATCCGTCCCATAGAAGGAAATGAAAACAAAGAGAAGTTAACCAGAGTTTTCTTTGCTTTCCTCCCTCCAGACAGAGGAGAAAACCAAACCATTCAAGACACCCTAATTGTAATATCCCATAGAAGGAAATGAAAACAAAGAGAAGTTAACCAGAGAGTTTTCTTTGCTTTCCCCCCTCCAGACACAGAGGATGCCAGTGAGACGGATCTTGCCAAGCATGACGAAGATGACTACGTAGAAATCAAGGAGCAGTAAGTGGACCGGCTTTATTTAGGTTTAGTAAAGAAAAAGGGGGGAAAATAGAAGTATTGGTCCCCGTGTTGCAGAGTCATGCTCTAAGATGAGGGTGGTTTATGCCTCTTTATGCAGGATGTACCAGGACAAACTGGCCTCCCTCAAGAGACAGCTGCAGCAATTACAAGAAGGTAACAAAAACAACAAACCGATCCGTTTGTTTTAGTTTAGTCGTTCTCACAGGCTAGAAAGAGACGGCATGAAATAGATGTTGTTCTTTAGCAGCAAAACGTGAGAAAAGATTCCCCTAACGTTTGAAAAAGTGTCTCTTTTTTTTTTCTTCTTGCCTGTGTTTTGTCTCCGGCCGATGACTCAAACAGGGACGCTGCAGGAGTACCAGAAAAGAATGAAGAAGCTGGACCAGCAGTACAAAGAAAGACATCGAAACGCAGGCAAGAGCTAAAAACGTTTGTTTTATCCGACCGGTGCGGGTCGGGGGGGGTCTCTCTGCTCCATTTTCGTCCAGAAAGCCTCAGAAAAAACACAACAGGGCAGATGGGAATTATAGAAAAAAAAAAGACAGAGAGCATATTACAGGAATGAGAAACAATTCTTTATTTCTTGGATGTCAGAGAAACGAACGGCGCATTAGAGATGTTGACTCAGACCGGTTGTCATGTGGCGTTCGGGTACCCGTGCAAACATGGAGCCATCTGGCCTCATGTTGACCCACGGCTCAGGAACGGGAACATTAGTCGCCCACTTTTTTTATTCAAATGATGAAATCTAATGTGGACGCACTGGTGAAAGCTGCTATTTGATTAGGTCCTTGTATACCGTTTTTTTCTGATTTCCTCTCTGTTTATTTACATGCATATTTTATTCGCTATGACTCAGATGCTGTTCTCGCTCGTCGGGATGTTTCTGTTTCCAGCTGGCTGCGTACCCTTTTTTTTCTTTTTCTCAGAATGCTGGAAGAATAAAGAGGCAATGGTCACAGACTCTGATAGATAGATAATCAACCGGCTGCTGAACACAGAAAATGTCTCATCACTGAACAGTGCAGATTCGTAAATTTCAGTATGAATCCTGATTTTGAACACTTTCATTTTCAGTAAAAAGCCTTCATGGTCCTACTTTCACATCAAAAAGATCTGATAAGCCTGAGGGTGTTTTGGAAACCACTCTTTATTTATTTTCATCCAGCACTCTGATAAAATGTTGGGAACAATCAGCCAAAACTACTTCTACTGCTCCTCATTACAGCCGTGTAATAAACGGGACTGGAGAGCATTTATGAGCCTTTTTGTTCAATTAAATTAACCCGTTGTCCTTTTTCTATTTTTCCCTTCACAGATTTGTTTCTCCAGCTCGAGGTAAGCACGCTTTTCTAGCCTGTTTCTGCAATATACAGTGGGGGAAATAAGTATTTGACCCCTTGCTGATTTTGCAGGTTTGCCCACTTACAAAGAATGCTTATTTTTCCTCATCAGATGGTTATCAATTTTTATAAATTCATATGATGTGATTTTCTGGAATTTTCTTTGGGATTCTGTCTTTCACTGTTAGAATG